ATAGGCTACTTTTATTGATAGTGGTAGTTTGATTGAGTACGTAAATAACTCATTATCAAATGACCGTTTACTTTTGAAACAACTGATTATTTTCAAATGAGCACAACGTACTGCTGACGTCATCGAATCCAGCTGATTTTTACTCTCCAGGAAGTCAACATGTTTTTCGTCATACTGCAGCAAAAACAGCCATTTTAGCGAATTTCCCTATAGGGAAGTAACTTGAACGTAGGTCTCATGAAAGACCTATGCCAAACGCAATAGCTTAAGTAATTTTTTACCGATTTCGATTAAATTTGGCTTGAAGGTGTAAGTCGGGATAAACTTGAATGAGTTCCCGAACCAGCATGTGGAACGGGGTGTCATGGGGTCACTGTCATGGTCATGATTAGGTGTTTTATGGGGTAAAAATTGGGTTTTCTCATTTTTTACACTCAAACAAAAAATTCCCAATTTCTCTCTAGACCATTTTAAAGAGCTTATAAAACAAATAGTTTAGTATTTGAACATTTTTGTATAATTATTAGTTACGGAGAAAATTAAAAAAATCGTAATTTTAAAATTCTTATGTTATTCTTAAGGAGAATATTTTTTATTGTTGTAGTTTCCTTGTTTGTGGATATATTTTGATAAAACTTGGCAAATTTTGTTATTTTTTACTAGGCTATTAATATTTTACTAAAAATACACTTTGTTAGCATCCCTGTAGCAGCAAAAGTACTAGTTAACCTTATGTAATTTAAATAGACTAGACTGAAAATCAAGTCAGGCAAATGGAAATTCGCTTAGTCTGCATGTTTGCTGCTGCGGGGGTATATATAATACATGCATTGCGAGTCTAAAGTAGCTTTTAAACCTTTATAACCCCAAGGGAGCATAAGTCAGATGCTGTAAACTTTGATTGTAAGCAATCGCATATGTATTTAAATTATGTATCGATTGATTTAATTTGCTGTAGCTTGTCTTGTCAATAGTTGTCTTGTCTTGTCAATAGTTCGACATAGTATAATGTACACTAACACAATCGAAATGTACGTAAATATTGAGTTATTAAACAGCTGCTTGTTTGCATTATCAAAATAGGAAACAAGTTGGAAGTAGTTTTTAGAGGTTATCTTTAAATGAGTATTTTTGTGTTCTAACTAAGTTTGTTAAATGATGTTGCAGTAAAAATAACTAGGTGGCGTTTGCAGAGGCATCCACAAAATTGAGCGGAGTCATCAAGGGTTCATATTATATTGTTTTTGTCATACTAAAGTAAAAACAGTAGTTTTGAATGCATGCGTTGCGGGTCTAAAGTAGCATTTTTAATATTTAGGGAGTAAAAATGGTTTTTAGCCTCTATGGAGTAAAAATCAGCTGTTGTCAACTCAGTTGTAAATTTCGATTTGTAAACAATTGCATGTATCGAAAATTCAATATGTATCGATTCCTGCTTCGTAATCATTTTAACATACAGTCTACAGTCTCTTCCCGTAGCATTTTAGCATCGCAGGTACATTAATCCATTCCCAAACTCAACACTGCTCACCTTTACTACTTCCTTCACCACACCCTACGTCGTGGACCTGTTTCCCTCTCTTCCCATAGCATTTTAGGATTGCAGATACATTAATGTATTTGCCAAAGACAGTTCCCACACCCGGCACTGCTAGCCTTACTACCTTCTTCACCATTTACTACGTCGTAGACCTGTTTCCTTCCTTTCTCGTAGCATTTTAGTATTGAAGATACATTAATCTAACTGCCACAGACGGATCTCACACTATGCTGATGCTCATATTTTACTACTTCCTAAGCCACTTCCTACGTCGTGGACCTGTATTCATCACTTTCCATAGCATTTTAGTATTTTAGATACGTTACTCTAATTGCCACAAACATTCCCACACTCCGTACTGCTAGACTTTACTACTTCTTTCACCATTTCCTATGTCGTGGGCATGCTTCTATTCCTTCTCATAGTATTTCAGCATTGCAGATACAATAAAACTGCTACAAACGGTTTCCAGTTACCATACTCCACATTGCTCACCTTACTACTTCCTTCGCCACTTCCTACATCGCGGACCTGTTTCCCTCCCTTTCCGTAGCATTTAAGGATTGCAGATACCTTAATCTAATCGTCATAAACAGTTCCCACACTCCGGACAGCTTGCCTTGACTACTTTTTTCACCACTTCCTACGTCGCGGACCTGTTTTCCTTTCTTCCCAAGCATTTTAGGATTGCGGATACCTTAATCTAATTGTCACAAACAGTTCCCACAGTCCGGACTGCTTGCCTTTACTACTTCCTTTGCCACTTTCTACGTCGCGGACCTGTTTTCCTCCCTTCCCATAGAATTTTAGGAATGCAGATACCTTGATCTAATCGTCATAAACAGTTTCCACACTCCAGACTGCTCGCCTTTACTACTTCCTTCACCAATTCCTACGTCGCGGACCTGTTTTCCTCCCTTCCCATAGAATTTTAGGAATGCAGATACCTTAATCTAATCGTCATAAACAGTTACAGTACCACACTCCAGACTGCTCACCTTTACTACTTCCTTCACCAATTCCTACGTCGCGGACCTGTTTTCCTCCCTTCCCATAGAATTTTAGGAATGCAGATACCTTAATCTAATCGTCATAAACAGTTACAGTACCACACTCCAGACTGCTCACCTTTACTACTTCCTTCACCACTTCCTACGTCGCGGACCTGTTTTCCTCCCTTCCCATAGACTTTTAGGAATGCAGATAACTTAATCTAATCGCCATAAACAGTTTACACACTCCAGACTGCTCGCCTTTACTACTTTCTTCACCACTTCCTACGTCGTGGACCTGTTTTCCTCCCTTCCCATAGAATTTTAGGAATGCAGATACCTTAATCTAATCGTCATAAACAGTTTCCACACTCTAGACTGCTCGCCTTTACTTCTTTCTTCACCACTTCATACGTCACGAACCTCAAGCTAGTGTCGTCATTTGATTAAATTTATGATCCATACCGTTTCTGTTCTAATATATGTGGAATAATGCTTTCAGCTATTTCTTTATCTACTGCATTCAAAAGTCAACAGCTGATCATATGTCGTTTTTATGTGTCAAATATTGATTCCATAAGGATTACATTGAAACTTTGAGACCCAGGGGGGCGGATTCCTGAGAGACTTTTTTAACGCCATATAGATGTTGGCACTCACCGATATGGTCTTTATCACCATGCAAAATTTGAAAACGATTGATTCAGCCGTCTAGGAGGAGTTTGCGTATTACGAAATGCATAAGAGTCGACGTATAAGAGCTTCGCTCGCTCCGCTCAAAAATATAGTTCAACTCACGAGCAAAAAGTGTCTTTCCAACCCTTGCTCATTTTCATGTGAAACTCGAGCTCGGATCGAAAATAGCCACTTTGCGGCCCGAGTTCATGTCAAATTGCTGATACCATATAAATGCCTACACGCAATTAAGGTAAAACATTGAACTTTGAACACAAGATATTGTTCAAACGAATTAAACCTACCTACAGACGATTTTAAACTTTATTTCTATATTGAGCAGTCTCGCCGTATCGGTAACAAGTTTCAATAAACCTAAGGCGTATGCGTTTAAATTTCTTATGTAATTCAGGATAATCTGATCAACAGTATATATTTATTGAAAAACTTAAGGACTGCAGAATGAAAACCACAACGTTTTAAAAATGTTTACATTTCACCACACAGACAACTGATAGTGGTTCGCTGACCGCTGACCCGCTGGCCGCACTAATACCCCGATTTACGAGTCTGATTGTTTATACAAAAGTAGTTCACGACCCTTTACGACGTACCAACCCTCTGCTTTCACCATTCTTTCCTTTTCTTTTTAAGTTCGAGTTTTCTTTAGATAAGAAGATAGCCAAATCTCGTAGACGAGTGGTTATGTAAGACAAAATCAACAAATAATTTAACCGTGCACATCGTTTCAAAATTTAAGATTAAGAGCTATACTTATATTGGTTGTCTAAGGTTGGGAACTGGACTGATAATAAAATTTAATCCTCGCAAGATAATGACACCTGAGTTTAACGGAGAATTACTGCTACATCAACCTTACAGTGCTTACAGTAAGTAGTCCTTAGACATACTCGTAAATAAAAGCAACCATTCGTGTTTCACGGTTGCGCCGGAATCATTAATATCCTTTGCCATAGTTGTAATTAGACAAACAAATAAAAATGGGTGAACGTATAACGATTTAAAATTAATACTGCCCTACCACTGCAGTACAAAAAATGGATCTTGTGTATTTTCTTTCTGTGTTTCAAATTAAACGTAGAAGAGTGTCATATCATAAACTGACATGCATTCTTATTATAATCGCTTTTATCCTTCTGCTGTTAATTATTTTATTAGAAATTTAACATGCCTTTTAAATAAGTACACTACGTATTTTAACCCATCAATAGTTTATAATGTATACATTTGTAGCGAATAAAGCTCTAGCCTATCTCCCGAGTGGAAACTGTTGTTGCACGTGGTTGTGATTATAACTTCAAACAAAATAGAAAATACGCCATTTCTAAAGTTTTTGAACATGCATTAAATAGTTAGCCCCTTCATTTGACCGAGTCCGACTCAGCGAGTCGTCCTTTAAATTCAGAAATACAGTAAAAGTTATATAATGTCACAATAATTGTGAAAAAAGAAAGATTTAGTAAGGTTATGAAGCGATGTGATTGAATGCACAATTTATTTTTATTCTTGACAGGTAAACTTCACAATTTATTATTAATAACGCTGTATTACTTTGTTGTAGGCTACATGTTCTGTCTGTATATTGTGAAACTTTCTTGAGGTAGGGCTAGGCAATGTACATTAAATACAGTTTAAATATTAGCAAGTTGATGAACATGCTTTGTAAGCTGATGATAAGCTATCGAAAAATAAACGAGACAACGGCAATAACCCACGATGTAGTACATAAATTCATAATTATTGAGGAAACCACTACGTTAAAAGTTCGTTACCCTTTTCTGGATAATGACGTCATCGGCCAGAGCGGGTTGTGAATTGGAGATAAGTACGACAGCAGCCACCACGCAGCTCAAAACCACTACTTGGGGGTACATTCTTCCTGCAACATGCAAGCAATACATCAGAACCACTACAAAAGAGTTAGTTTTCCTGCAACACAACACAATTATAAAATAACTCAGAATCACCATAAACGAGTTGGAGTTTCTTGCAACGCAGGCTAATTATCCATCAGGAACAACAAGGGGGTTCATTTCTCCTAGAAGTCTAGCAAACAGAAACAATACGTATAATAACCACAGCAACAATGTTAGATTTTCCTTTAGCAAACTAACAATACAGTACAAAAGAACTGAATGAGAGTTTGTTATTTTTGCAACACAAGCAAACTATACAGAATTCAATACAGAGTCGTATTGACAGACTTTTTTAAAGATGGCAAGTCTATGGTCATAAAGCAAGAAAATAACACTAATGTACGGGCTAAAATTTGTTTAAAGTACTATTACTTTTCACGATGAGTGAAGATGAGTGAAATGGATAATGATTAATATTGTTCGTAGTCTCCTGTATATTGTCGGGTCAGGTAAAATCTTGTACGTTACACGTTACGCAAGAGCGTGTTTACATCACTTAGGTAAATTATGCAACTCGCTTCCGCTCGATGCACAACCTTCACCTGCGTGATGTAAAAACGCTCTTACTACACTTGTAAGGTAAATAGCTATAATAGTTTTACCAACAGGGCGCAGCACTATTATTTTTTTTTTATTTATGACAACAGCTAATTTGCAAACAAAAGGTGAGTGAGCGTAACGAACGAACTTCAACCTGGAGGCGAGTTAGCGTAGCGAACGAGCTAACTGAAGGCAAGTGAGTGCAGCGAACGAGCTCCAACCTAAAGGTGAGTAAGCGTAGCAAACGAAGTTCAACCAGGACGTGATTGAGCCATGCGAACGAGCTCATCTTGAAAATGAACGAGCATTGACATAAAACCACATTAGGGCAGGACGACGTCTGTCGGGCCAGCTAGTAGTAAATAATAATGGATAAAGTATATTTATACACACGTTCTTTAAACTAATCGTCAAATTTAAGTTAGTTTAATCTGTGAACTTTTCGTGTCAAAAGCACAACACTTCAAAATATTAATAAGCAAAGTAATATTTCTTCCGTTTAAGGATGTTTTAAAACTCTATTCGCCGGCTGAGGAAGCCGCTTTTTATTGCTTTAGAATGAATGGATTACCCATATTAAAAAGCTCATATTAATCGTTTCTCTCAACAACCAATAAACAATATTACGGGCGACGTTGTCAAAGAATGCCTAAAGAAGGCGTTTTATGTAGTATCTAATATACCTATGTACTTGTATTTTCTCTTTTGTGAAATACATCCTTCATTGAATACTGCACTAAGAATCAGATTCGTAGTATCAGGATGACTTAAATCTCAGTGTTACATATTTGAATGTAGTTCAAAATAAAGATTTTGAATTTCTTAAGACCGAGTCGTTTAATACAGATGTAATAAGGATAGGTACCGTAGTCCTGTCATCAAAATTGAACATACTCTTATAATGATAGAATTCGTGTCGGATATTTTACGGCATTATTCCTGGGTAAGAAACATATCCAAATAAATATCATATTTAAATTGTCTGGAAGTCCTTAGTTACTCACAAAGCCGCCATTTCTTTCACTTATTAACTGTTTTATAAGAAGTGGTAAAAGATATGAAATTGAAACGTTGCACAAGTTCTCGACCACCTGAAAAGTAGGCAGCATTTGTATTTTTTATCACTACAGTCCATATTATAACTATCAGCAAAGATATTTGATATTACTTCTTTGCGACACTCACAAATTAATTCTACTTTCGGAAAAAAAACTACACGAATAGTCCATTTTTACATATTTTATACAATAACTTGTTTATTATTAGAGATACGACCTCGGACCTGATAATCACTATAGTATTCCATACTTTTAGGATTACAACGACGTTTTAACCGATGTTCTATCTTTTACCGTTTTCGAAATATCAGCGTTTAAACGCATAGCGCAACCCGCCATGTTTGCCCCCTCCCCCCACCATATCAACCACTTTTGAAATAGGCGAAATACGTAATTTTGATCACCACAGTCCATATTACAATAATCAGCAATAACATTGCGTACTACTTTCATGCATGCTCAAACCCCCTCAGCTCCTGGACTACCACAACAATGCAACAGTCTCAGTTTGCTTTGAAAGTTATTTTTAAGCGATTTTAGATTATTTAAAACAATAATAAAACATTACATAACCCTAAAAGTTTATTTTTTTTATCTATTATCTATCATTAGGATGGCTTAAAAATGGAACACCTTTTTACTGTCTTGCAAAGAAAACACCCAAACTTTTCATTTCTTATGGGAGTTAAATATGGGTTTTCTATTCCGAGTCCGTTTGGCTCTACTACCCGACCGATTTTCATGATTGAGGTCTCAAATTGAAGGTATGCACGCACAGATTTTACATCAAGCATTGGCATATACTTATCTCCCGTATTACTCGGCAGAAAAATATAAATTTGATTTTTTTTTGAATTCTTACTTAAATTAGATCTATTTCACCAGATATAATCCAATATACAGAATGGTCATAAATTATTGTACACATTTGAAGATAAAATAAATAAATAACCAAGCAACCTAGAAACATGGGAATTGTTTCATTAAATAGCAAATTTAAAACAGTTTTATACAGTAACTGCAAAAAAATTATAAAAATGTCAGCAATTATGAAAAGTAATTACAAAAAGACTTTAAAAATCACCTAAACTGTTATTGTAAGTTATGTTCTTCTGAGGGTATGACCCTTAAGACTATATTTTGGACACTTTACAGTCGTTCGAATCGTCTATACCACCATTTTATAGAATTTCTACACAGAGAATTACGGTTATACTCTAAACGAAGCCTTCTTTGAACAGTTATTACAGATTTGCTTTCATGAAACCAAAGACGTTGCTTTTTATTGCACTCGGTTCAAGGTTTGATTCACCAAATGTCATACACAGCTGGAGTAGAAATAAAAGGTCTATTGTTGGTTTTGTTATACTAACTATGCCATGCTATCCATGCTGACTAGGCCACAACACAAGTCATAAATAAAAAAAACTTACATTCACTGTTTGAGTGATTTTTACAAATTTTTCATAACCACTTTTTACAATTACTGTACTGACATTTATATAATTATTGTTTTGCAGTTTCTGTATAAAACTGTTTTAAATTTGCTATTCAATCAAACAATTCCCATGTTTCTAAGTTGCTTGGTTATTTGTTTATATAATCTTAAAATGTCCCTGTAAAAAATCCCTGTATTTTAGTCTAAGAACCTTCCGTGAAATACCGGCTTTCATTTAAGCTATTATTTATTTAAATTGGACGAGTTTTAAGCAAACACAAGGTGAACAACCAACATAAAAATTATTTTTATAAGGTTTTTCTATGATTAAAAATCAATAGCTCCAGTATTGTTTTTCTTTTTCTTATGTTTTATACACTTAAAATAATAAGTAAATTATAGGCTTTGATTTGAGCTATTGATCGTTTGAATCAGTTAAGTTCAAGATACTGTATTACTCTTAATCAAAAATCACCTATTTGATTATTTTTTGGATATGTCATTTATTTCAACCCTGCAGAGCAGTATAGGTCGTCTAGTAGTATACTATAAACATCACAACACCTTACCTTCCCTGTAGCAGCAAACCTAAGCACTTGTTACTCCATACTAGTTCTATACTCTAATATAAGCAATGTTAGCTTGTATGTATGTTTGCTTGCTTGCACAAAGATATCGAAAACCGCTCCGACGATTTTCTTCAAATGTTGTAAAAATAGTTTATTCCTGGCCTAGAAACGAAAAATCTAATTACGTAGAAAAATGAAACTGAAAGTCACATTTTTTTAACAGTTGTCTTATGGGTTGCTAAGTAACCATCTTGGCTGAATTAAATAACAAGGAAAAAGTAAACAAAAGACTTGTAAGTAGTCCATCCACAGTATACTAGCAAATTACAAAATACAGTAAAAAAGGAAAAACATCAGTTGTTACTATTGAGCAAAGATTATACTGAAGATTACTCGATACATTGTAGCAGGACTTTTTTTTTACTAAGTAAAGACTAGCAGTGTGGAGTGTGGAAACTGTACATGACGAATAGATTAAGGTATCTGCAATCTTAAAATGCAATGGGAAGGGAGGAAAAAAGGTCCGCGAAGTAGGAAGTGGTGAAGGAAGTAGTAAAGGCGAGCTGTCCGGAGTGTGGGAACTGTTAATGAGGATTAGATTAAGGTATCTACAATCCTAAAATGCTATGAGAAGGGAGTGAAACAGGTCCGCGACGTAGGAAGTGGTAAAGGAAGTAGTAAAGGCGAGCTGTCCGGAGTGTGGGAATTGTTAATGAGGATTACATTAGGATACCGTACCTACAATCCTAAAATGCTATGGGAAGGGAGGAAAACAGGTCCGCTATGTAGGAAGTGGTGAAGGAAGTAGTAAAGGCGAGCAGTCTGGAGTGTGGGACTGGGGATTATATTAAGGTATCTACAATCCTAAAATGCTATGAGAAGGGAGGTAAACAGGTCCATGACGTAGGAAATGTTGAAGGAAGTAGTCAAGCAGGGTATTTCCTATTTTATTCTAATTTTCCATTTAGCGAATATGCTATTACTGTATGTATCATGGTGTGACCTCGACCCGGGGCCAATTTACTTTTCCGTTTTGATGTCCCTAGAGGTTAAAAACACCATCCATTCACATTCATAGACATATAGAAACATCTCTTGAATTTGTAAAATAAAAATAAAAATAAGAGAACGAACTGGTACTTATTTTTATTTATTAGCGTTTGTGTTTTGTGTTCGTTAGTTAGCACGATAAGTCTGGTAAAAATCATTCGATTAATAGATTGTTATGGAATTCTGTACAAACGTGTAATCCTATGTTAAACAATTCAAACGAGTTAACGAATTAAGATGATGGGACTATGGGAACATTGGGGTCTCGATGGGATTTTATGGAGTAAAGATTGGTTTTCCCATTTTTG